TCTATCATTTCACACTCGAAGAGATAATTTAGATAAGAAATATGATACTTTGGAGCTCGTTGGTGGCAGAAAAATAAATACGATAAGAGTGAAAAAAAATAGAACAGTCACTCTGGCCCTGTTGCTATAAAAAAAAGAAGACAGGGCACTAATAGAATGGGAAGCTGTGAGTCCCAGAATAATAAGAGTGTCATTTAGAGAAACGAAACAGAAGGTGAACATGTCAGTAATACAGTGTTACGCACCAACAAATGATAAAGATGCATCTGTTGAGGAAGAATTTAACATGCAGCTTCAAGATATTATAAATAATAAAAGAAATAGCAATATAAAAATTGTGATGGGTGACCTGAATGCTAAGATAGGATCAGATAACACAATTTATTAAAAGATTATAGGACGACATGGTCTAGGAGTAATGAATGAAAATGGAGAATTATTTTTAAAAAATTTGCAGGAAACCAGTATGTTATTGGTGGAAGTATTTTCCCCCATAAAAGAATACATAAGGCAACATGGGAATCACCAGACCATAAGACAGCCAATCAAATTGATCACCTTTGTATTAACAAAAAGTTTAGATCATCCCTTTATGAAGTTAGGGCTTTGAGAGGTGCCAATGTATTTACTGATCATTTTCTGGTGGTAAGTAAAATCAAGTTGGAACTTAACATCTTATATTCATAGAAACCAGTAAAATGAAGGTTATCTTAGGGATAAAGAAGTTAACTCCTTAAGTCCCAGAGGGTTTAGCATCACAGGCCCAAGAAATAATTAAGAGATAGGTAAAATCGGCGCATCGTGCATTTATTGGGCTTCTAGGCAGTAACCTATAAATGTATTATGCGTTCCTTAGGGCTCAAAGAGTTAAGGAACAATTTTCAGTAAGTCTCTAAAAAGTACCAGGTGTTGCAGGAGTTAGCTAAAGATGTAAGAACTGAAGTCTGCTGGGATCAGATTAAAAGAATCTGGAATGAATCTGGTGTAGAAGTTCTTGGCAAGAAAGAAAGGAAACATCAAGCATGGATGAAACCATTAACCTGATTGAAGAAAAGAAAAGTAAAAAAGGCAGACTTAAACAATAGCAAAACTAGAGCTGCCAAAGCTAGAGCTCAGGATAAATACACAGAAGCCCAATAAGAAAGTTAGGAGGCGTATAAGGGCAGATAAAGTGAACTATTTAAATGATCTAGCACAAGAAGCAGAGACAGCAGCAGCAAAAAGAAACCTCAGAGAACTTGACAGTCACACACAAAAATTAGTAGGTGAATTTAGTCAGCCAACTGGATCAATCAAAAATAGTCAAGGAAAGGTACTTACTAAGACTAAAGATCAAAAAGACAGAAGGGCTGAATATTTTAAAATGTTTCTAAATAGACCAAGCATAGAGGTTCCTCCAGATATCCAGCCTTTAGAAATGGAACTGGACATGAACTGTGAGATACCATCTAAAGAGAAAATTAGAAAAACTATCAATCTTCTCAAGGAAGGAAAGACGGGAAGTCCAGATGGTATCTCAGCAGAAGCCATTAGGGCCAACATAAACACATCAACAGATTATTCAGTAAAGTCTGGGAGACCGAAGGAATACCAGCAGACTGAAGAGAAGGATATTTTGTAAAACTGCCCAAAAAAGGTGATCTACAGGAGTGTGAAAACTATAGAGGAATTATGTTGCTGTCAGTTCCTAGAAAAGTATTAAGTATAATTTTTTTGGAAAGATTAAATGACGCTACTGACAAAAATCTAAAAGATGAACATCACGTTTTCTGCAAAACAGATCCTGTACTGACCAGATAGCCACTTTACATATAATAATAGAGCAAAGTATTGAACTGAACTCACCACTTTAAATTGGATTCATAGACTGTGAAAAAAGCATTTGACAGCATTGATAGGGAATCTCTCTGGAAATTGACGGGGAACTATGGAATCCCACAGAAAATTATTAACTTAGTAAAGGCAACATATACAGACATGAAATGTCGAGTTCTTCATGAAGGAAAGCTAACAGATACATTTGAAATAAAAACAAGTGTGTGACAGGGATGTCTTTTGTCGCCTCTCCTACTTTTACTGGCTATAGACTAGATTGTGAAGACAGTAACTGCTAACACCAAGAATGGAACTCAGTGGACCCCTACAAAACAGCTTGATGATCTGTACTCTGCTGATGATATTTCTCTTGTGTCCCATTCACGGAATCAGATGCAAGATAAACTAAATATACTTGATGCAGGATCACAGCAGCTAGATCTGAAAATCCATAAAGGAAAGACAACGATAACAAGAATCTTCTTCTTCTTCACTTCCTCTTTTACCACTGTGGGTGTCGAGGGAGATATAAGGTTCTGTTTCTAGCTCTTCTGGCTGCCTCGACCATAGGCACATCGTGCTGTTGTAGAGTTTCTCTGATGTTATCCTTCCATCTTGTTCTTGGTCTACCCCGTGCTCTACGTCCTTCTTCTCTTTCCATGTATGCTTTGTATGGTATGGTGTCACAAGGCATTCTCTCTAAGTGGGCAAACCATTTCACTTGCTGTCTTTGTATGTAATCCAGAATTGGTTCTGTGCCTACTTGTTCTCTTATGATCTCATTTCTGATCTTATCTCTCATGGTCACTCCTACAGCCCTTCTCAGACATCTCATTTCCGTGGTTACTAATTTTCTTTTATGGTTTGTTGTGAGTGACCATGTCTGGCACTGGTAGCACAGAGTTGGAATAAATATGCTTTGAATAAGATGTCTCTTTGTGCTGACTGGGATTGTCTTATGCTGTAAGAGGGAAGCTAGCTGTCCCAATACTTGGTTTGCTTTACTGCATCTAATGTCAATTTCTTTATCCAATTTCCCATCTTCGGTAAATGTAGTTCCCAGATATTTAAACTCAGATGCCTGTTTAATGCCTTTGTATTCTATTGTTATGTTTAGATCTGTCTTCTTTTTTCCTATTGACATTACTTCTGTCTTTTCAGTGTTGATTTTCATATTATTTGTTTTACATTCTTCATTCATGGATGTTAGATGTTGTTGCAATTTCATGGCTGTATCTGCTATCAAGGCCTGGTCATCTGCAAAGAGTAATTCGTTGATCTTACTAAGATCTTCATTCATGGGCTTGGCATTCTTGCATATACTGTCGATGTAGGTGATAAACAGCAGTGGTGATAAGACACACCCCTGTCTTACTTCAGATGTCACTTTGAAAGGATGAGATGTTCCCTGATTTATTCTAACTACACTTCTACAATCCCTGTATAAACTTTTGCACACTTCGATGAGGTGTTCGCTTACTCCATATCTTGCCATTATTTTCCATAATAATTGTCTGTCGACTCTGTCAAATGCCTTCTCCTCGTCTACGAATACCACAAATAAGTTCTTATTGTATTCAATGTTCTTTTCTATTAACTGTTTAAGTGTGAAGATTGCATCTGTGCAGCTTCTATTTCTCCTAAATCCCATCTGTTCTTCTGCCAGCTGTGGTTCTATCACTGGTCTCAGTTTTGTTTTTATTATCTTGGCATACATTTTGCCAACATGGCTTAAAAGAGAGATGCCTTGATATTGACCGCATTCTCGTTTGCTTCCTTTGTTCTTCCACAATGGTATAACTATTGCATGTTGCCAATCAATAGGGGCCGTTTGTTGTACCCATGCTGCATTGAATATTCTGTGAAGCCATCTGATGCTGCTTTCACCTGCTGCTTGAATTATTTCTGTGATAATAAGAATAAATCAGGTAAAAAGTAATGTGGTTTCTCTTAATGGCACCCCCCACCAAGACGTAGAGTCGTACACCTATTTGGGCAGTAATGTAGATAAAGATGGGGGAACTGATAGAGATATTAAAACAAGAATTCAAAAGGCAAGAGGAGCTTTCATAGCACTAGGAAATTTGTGGAGGTAAAAAGAAATACCAAACTTAAAATTTGTAATTCTGTCAAATCAGTACTTTTGTATGGGGCCGAAACATGGAGAACAACTAAGGCAATTACTAATAAATTACAGACATTCATTAACTGCTGCCTGCGCAGAATAGAAGAAATTAAAATGGTATGATAGAATAACTAATGTAACTAACTTTGGGAGAGAACTAAGCAAGCGCCAGTGAACCAAGAGGTGAGGAAAAGACGCTGGTGTTGAATAGGACATACACTGAGAAAACCGGACAATGGCATTATTAGAATGTCTTTGCATTGGAACCCATAGGGGCATCAAACTAAAGGAAGGCCCAAAAAAAAACACAGAGAAAAGAGCTGGAAAAAGAAAAAAGAAAGATGGAGAGAGCTCCATGCAATAATGAAGGATAAACAACTTGGCGTGTGTGATGACCCTGCTTTGCATGGTCTCCACAAGGACATTGTGGCAAGCAGAAAGTCTGTGCTACAAGTGACAGCACGAGATACTTGTGGCCGGTGGAGTAAGCGAGGGAAAGCCTGAGCTAGCCTCGTGGTCAGTTGATCATCAGAAGTCGTAGAAGACGGTTGTATTAGTGGAAGAATATGTTGCGGGCGATAAAAGTGTGAATAATTGTTAAAGCATGTGGAATAAATGTAACTGAATAAACTGATAGTATGGACAAGAAAGCCGAGTGGCGTTTGTGTATCAGTCCTAGACGTTAGAGCAGTGCAAGTAGTTATGTTGCAGTAATCATAGAGAGTGAACCATGGCAAAAGCAGATACGTAGTAAGCTAATGACGAGTGACGTCGGCCATTTCAAGTTACATTCCAAGTTAGTTGAAAGCGTGGCTTCAAACAAAGCGTCAAGGTTCATTCCAGCGTATGTTGGTTGAGGGCCTATGCTTCATTGGGGAATAGAAAGGCAGAAGAAGAAGTCCTTGTGATTTCATATCAACGACATTTGATTAGCTTGTTAACATTTGGTTTGTCAAACAGCTGTCATAAAATCATAATGTCTGAGCAGGAGTTGTCTACAATCACCACTGTCTCAATCTGTAGCAAACCACACAAATGAGTTCATAAAGTGCATGCTTACCACGGGTCTTCCGAGATGTCTTTTCTAAAATAAATAACAAAAATTACATCACTGCACAACACTCAAAACTAGAGTAGAACATAACTACAAGTGGCAACAACATTTATCAAGCTACTATAGTAAGTAATAGGGTGAAGGATTCTACTCATTCATGCTTTCCTAGAAGCCGAGATTTGGTGCTTTAGAGAAAGGAAAAGAATAATATTAGGGAACAATAGAAAAACATAACAGGCAGTCCTTCACAAGACAGAAAAAAACTATAAAACTGATTACAGAAATTAAATGAAGACAGTTAGCGTTGTTTTAACATATTATGATGAGGAATAAACTTGAGAATTTGGCGACTGGCAAGATTGATGGGAAAAGAGTAAATGTAAGGCAGAGAGGTAAATAGATGTATGGTCTGCCCATCTTGATTTTTTTTTGGTGGGAGGGGGGGACAGACAAGAGTACTGATGACCTGATTCATGATTTTATTGATTGTGTGAGAATGCAACATTTACACTTATTGACAAGACACATGATGATGATGATGATTTCCTAGCTATCAATGGGAACTCATAGTTTCCATGACTAATGTGGCTCTCTCTTTATTGACCTGAACTTGAAGAAGTCAAAACGAGCCATAACAATGAAATCTATTTTTGTCGACCACTCTCATTATTCAAGCACAGCGTCTTCAGCTTTCTGCAATATACAATGTATATCCTCTACCCTAATGGCATCCTAAAAATAATCATCATTTACAGTGTTAGATAAGTTCCCTATCAGTACGATTAGTCTTGTCTTGTTGTCTTGTCTTGTCCACAATTGCCTCACAGCGTAGTGGGGAGTCGCAGTTTTCTATCCTGGGCCAGGTTTGATTAGTTTGGGCTACAAATCTCCTCAAAAATGCTTCCCCTTTCTCTTTGTCTGTTGTCATTGGCATACCATTATCAGTGTACATAATAATGCCTGTTGTGATGATTCCTTTTCATCTATCTGAGAAGTTTCTGAAACCTACCCAGTGATCTATCTCCTCTAATTTTACTCACAAATGTTTCCAATTAGCCTTTTTTTTTTTTTTTGCATCTGCTGCACACAGCTTGAACTCTATTACATTTTCTTTTTTAACTCTTTCTAGCTTCTCTACATCCTCTTATTCTTGTGAGGTGTCTTTCAAACTTTCTGTAATTGTTTAACTCCTGCTCACTTTGCTCTTCATGCCTGTTTTTTTCTTGGGTCTACCACCATGAAGGCGGCACAAAAGCAGAGGTGGTGGTTCTGCTGCACATATTCTGTCAAAGGCATCCAAGAAGGGTACTGGCCCTCTCATACTTAAAAGTCTTGGGTGTTCTCACAGCCCTGACCTTGTTAGCTTAAGAAATCAAGACTGAACATGGCATATGATCACTCCCGTGATCGCCTAGGACACTCCAGCTTTTGCCCAGCACTGCTGACTGGGTAACAACCACCAAATCAATAGCAGTGTCTGCATCACTAGGTCTTGTTGCCATTCTAGTTGACCTACCGTCATATGTAAAGACTAAGTCTGCATCTACCATAGCCTCTGCTAAAGTATTTACTTGTCTATTTTAGCCAGTACTGTTCTATGCTCTGTTCCACGCACTGCAATCCTCACAAATGAGAATCCTATTACCAGGAATTTCCTCTAACTCTCTGAGCCAGTCCCATTGTTCCTTTGTGATAAGAGAGTAAATAGCAGCGTAGACATTTACTAAATTCCAGGTTGTGCCCCCATTATCTATCTGTTTACCCTGAACCTCTAGTGAACTATGATTCCAGTGGCCTGGACTATCGTTTCATACCTATTAATTATTGCTTTATCATTGCAATATTATGAATTCATTAATTTATAAAGTGAAAAAAGGTGAATGAGAAGTGGGAGGATCAACCCAGAGTCAGCTTCCCTAGCTTCCCCTTTCAATGACTGTATGTTAACACTTCACTTCCTTTTCAAATCTGACAAATGATAAACAAGCAGGTGGTCTTAACTGCAGTCACCAATGTGTGTTTGGAATCGCGACACATAATCGAGTCAACAGAAAAATTCTAGATATTATGGTATTCAAGATCAACTGTTGGGTAACATCATGACTCTTTACCAAGATAGTCAGTGCACAGTAAAAACAACAGAAGGAATGACAGACTGGTTTCCCATCTCATCAGGTGTCAGACAGTACTAGAGCCCTAGATGTGTCCTCTCACCATTGCTATTCATTACTTACATGGATAAAATATCACTGGAGTCAAATCCAGACACTGCAGAAATCTATGAACTTCATTTTGCAGATAACCAGTGTCTAATACACTACCAAGAACAGAATTTACAACACCATATTGAATCCTAACATCAAGCCTGCACAAAGTATGACTTGCGAATAAACACCACGAAAACTGAGGTAATGAGGATAGGCAAGAAACATAATATCATGAACTTTCATGTTAACGGCACTACAATCAAACAAGTAAGAGAATTCAAATATGTAGGAAGCATATTTACGGAGGATGGCTGACTCGATAAAAAGACAGAAGCCAGAGTACAGAGGGCAAATGCTGTCACATACCAGTCAGCCCCACTGCTTAGACACTTTAATGTCTCCCTTCCAGCAAAAAAGCAAATGAATAATAACATCTTTATCCCTACTTTATGTTATCAGTGCCAAACAGGAACATTGAATAAGGCACTAGAACAGAAAATAACTGCATGTGAAATGCACTGTCTCCGCAAGGTCACTAACAACACTATATGAGACAGGATTACGAATACCAGCATTAGAGATCAAGTTGGAATAAGACCATATCTGGAGTATATTGACAGACAAAGAATGAAATAGTTTGGCCATCTAGTCAGAATGCAGCCAGACCAGACTGCATAGGAGACTTTTTACAGAAGAACATCTGGGAGGAGGGTGAGAAGAAGACCAAAAAATGAGATGGACAAATGGTGTAGATAAAACCTGCAAAAAAGTTGAATAAATCCATCACTCAAGCCACCCGAGAAGCTCAAGACAAATATAGAAAAACCATGACACTGGGTTACAACCTGGTAACAAAGAGACAGCAAAAGAAGACGAAGATGATGATGACATACCAACTCTTGTTGTAGGAGCTGAAGGTGTGCTACAGATATGAAGGAGACTCGTTCAAAACAGGCAGATGGTAATTTTAAAAAATGTTGACCATAACTTAGATTACAAACCGATTAATCACTTTGAAAAACTATAAATTAATAAGACAGTTTACTGTGTAATTCATTTAAATATTGTGAACTATGAACAATTATGCAGTTACATCATGCAAAATGCACAACTCATACAGTTAGCAGAAATTGATACATTAAAAGCTTTTCAGACAAGGGTCAATTATCAGTCTGGTGTGCACAAACGTGAGACAGACATGTTGTGCACTTAAATCCTTTTGGTCTATCTAAAAAAAAAAAATCAGGCCCATCACGAACATGCCTAAGTGTACAAAGCACGGCCCGCATAGTTACTTCACAAAAACTGCTTCTTGAGTTAGTATTGATTTTGCTGAAGTTACAAATAACTAATCACCTATAACTGTAAAAACATTATTTATGTATAACACAGCTAATTTGTTTACCATTTCTGAACAAGACTTTATACAGTTTAAAAGAAAAGTAAAAGTCTCTTTTCCACGCCTGTAGGTGTACTGTGAATATAAGGCTAGATCATACAGTTTAAAAACCTGTGAATATTTTACCCAATCTGATTAACCCTTTCGCCCTATAAAAGTCTCTAAAAATTACCTTGTTTCTTCCTTCAAATTTTATTTTGTTTTTAAAATTCGCATCTTTAAAATTCTGTCAAACACTACCACAAGAATCTATAAGAAAAGTCTTCTTCTTCTGCCTCTCTACCCCCCCATGAAGCATACACCCTCAACCAACTCATGCCAACCGTTCTATTATTTGCAAGTGCATGGCGCTCTCCCCATCTTTCTAACTTCATTTTCCAGCTCTCTTCTTCATGTGTTTAGCCTTCCTTTATTTCTATGCCCGTGTGGGTTCCAGCGCAAAGACATTCTATTTATGCCGTCCTCCATTTTCTTAATGTGTGTCCTATCCAATGCCAGCGTCTTTTCCTCACCTCTTGGTCCACTGGCGCTTGCTTAGTTCTCTCCCAAAGCTCTACATTAGTAATTCCATCATACCATTTAATTCCCTCTATTCTGCACAGGCACCAGTTAATGAATGTCTGTAACTTATTATTAATTGCCTTTGTTGTTCTCTATGCTTCCACCACCATACAAAAGTACTGATCTGACATTAGAATTAAAAATTTTAATTTTGATATTTCTTTTAATTTCTTTTGACCTCCACAAATTCCTTAGTTCTATGAAAACTCCTCTTGCCTTTTGTATTCTTATTTTAATTTCTCTATCATTTCCCCCATCTTTTCTAAATTACTGCCCAAATAGGTGTACGATTCCACGTCTTGGAGTGGGGTGTTATTAAGAGAAACCACGTTACTTTTTACCTAATTTATTCTTATTATCGTTGTCTTTCCTAGCTGCTGTGATCTTGCATCAAGTATATTTAGTTTATCTTGCATCTGATTCCGTGAATGGGAAAGAAGAGAAATATCATCAGAGTCCAGATCATCAAGCTGTTTTGTAGGGGTCCACTGAGTTCCATTCTTGGTGTTAGCGGTTACTGTCTTCATAATCTAGTCTATAGCCAGTAAAAGTAGAAGAGGCGACAAAAGACATCCCTGTCACACACCTGATTTTATTTCAAATGTATCTGTTAGCTTTCCTTCATGAAGAACTCGACATTTCATGTCTGTATATGTTGCCTTTACAAAGTTAATAATTTTCTGTAGGATTACATAGTTCCCCGTCAATTTCCAGAGAGATTACCTATCAATGCTGTCAAATGCTTTTTCATAGTCTATGAATCCAATTTAAACTGGTGAGTTCAGTTCAATACTTTGCTCTATTATTATATGTAAAGTGGCTATCTGGTCAGTACAGGATTTGCTTGGCCAAAAACCTGCCTTTTCATCTCTAAACTTTTTGTCAATAGCATCTTTTAATCTTTCCTAAAAAATTCTACTTAATACTTTTCTAGGAACTGACAGCAACATAATTCCTCTATAGTTTTCACACTCCTGTAGATCACCTTTTTTGGGCAGTTTTACAAAATATCCTTCTCTCCAGTCTGCTGGTATTCCTTCGGTCTCCCAGACTTTACTGAATAATCTATGTAGCAATTCTGCTGATGTGTTTATGTTGGCCCTAATAGCTTCTGCTGAGATACCATCTGGACTTCCCGTCTTTCCTTCCTTGAGAAGATTTATAGTTTTTCTAATTTTCTCTTTAGATGGTATCTCACAGTTCATGTCCAGTTCCATTTCTAAAGGCTGGATATCTGGAGGAACCTCTATGCTTGGTCTATTTAGAAACATTTTAAAATATTCAGCCTTTCTGTTTTCCTTGACTATTTTTGATTGATCCAGTTGGCTGACTATATTTACCTACTAATTTTTGTGTGTGACTGTCAAGTTCTCTGAGGTTTCTTTTTGCTGCTGCTGTCTCTGCTTCTTGTGCTAGATCATTTAAATAGTTCACTTTATCTGCCCTTATACGCCTCCTAACTTTCTTATTGGCTTCTGTGTATTCTTCCTGAGCTCTAGCTTTGGTAGCTCTAGTTTTGCTATTGTTTAAGTCTGCCTTTTTACTTTTGCTTTCTTCAATCACGCCTGATGTTTCCCTTCTTTCTTGCCGAGAACTTCTACACAAGATTCATTCAAGATTTCTTTGATCTGATCCCAGAATTCAGTTCTTACATCTTTAGCTAACTGCTGCAACACCTGGTACTTATTAGAAACTGTTACTGAAAATTGTTCCCTTACTTCTTTATCACTAAGATAACCTATATTATATTGGTTTCTATGATTATAAGATGTTATATATCTTTTAAGATTCAACTTGATTTTACTTACCACCAGAAAATGGTCAGTAAATACATCGGCACCTCTCAAAGCCCTGACATCATAAAATAACATACTGGTTTCCTGCACACAAATTTGTAAGTAGCAGAAGAAAAGCGGAGTCTTGGTCAGTATTTTGGGTTTTGATCAGAGAGCAGGCAGGCAAGCATGAAGTCTTCTGCCCTTTTTTATGATGTTATATGAAAAAAAATTATTATTTGCTCTGGTCACTAAAATAAAATCAGAAAAAGATTTATTTTTGTAAGAAAGTGGGAGAAAAAATCACTAAATACAAACCGTGCAAAAAATAATGAATTTCTTTCTCTGTCACCATTTAGAAGTGGTTCTGGTCACTTTGCTTTAGATGGCAAAGTGCCCCAATAATGAAATTATTTGACGTCACGGTGATATCAAAGTTTTTTCCCCACCTCAAATAATATCTATAAAAAAATGGGGTCAATATAATCATACCTGCCATGTCTACACATTGCAGCTGCAGCCAATACCAAAGTTATTATCATACGGGTGTAATGGACACTGTCCAGAGACATCATGTCAACCAAAACCAGTAAAAGCTAAAAATGGCTTTCTCAGGGGTGAGAGGGTTAATGTCACTTAAAAAAAAAATTAAACATGTGTCCTAATAATTTTTCATATGCTTCCATTCTTGTATTTCTGGTAACAAACCATAAGAAACTTGTCCCCGGTAAATTTTCTCTTTATAGGTATAAAAATATGAGCTGCATACTGTTAGTCTTTCCTCTTGGGCCTAGGGAAGTCTTCCCCATTTGCTTTTTTTTTCCCCTTCTGGTGTCCATATGGGGGCTTGATTGGGGAAGTCTTGTCTTATCCATTCTGAGTGCACAGCCAATGTAGTTCCAGCGGCGCTTTCTTATAAAACTGGATACATTGCCTTGCTGAGTCTAGTCTTATATGCGTAATGGATCCAAAATCTGTCCAGTGAAGATTTAGTATTCTTCTAAGACATTTGCTCTCAAATTTGTCTAATACGCTAGTTTTTTTTAAATCTAGGGCTACCATTACTTTTCAGCTTTGTAGCAGTGCAGAAATGTGCTGACAATACAAATGATGTAACCATGCAAACACTTCTAGAAAACATAGGCTCTGGGACAAAAACTCAACATAAAACGTAAGGCGATCAATGCTGTAAACGATTAAATGTTCAATTACCTCTGTGAAAATGTTTCTTTTTGTTCTTAATAATGATTCTGCGCTTTAACTGATTAGGGCTTGGCAAAGGAACATCTGGCTTAAGCTGAAAACCAACAGAATGAAAAAAAAAAGGTTAGCTATGTAAACATAAAATGCTTTCATTATATAACTATACTCTTGTGTAACTTTGTGACCTTAATTTAACTTGAAGGTTGTGCACACTGCCCATCTCTTTTATTATCCTGTCTCAAAAAGCTTTTAGAATACTTCGTAACTTCACCTTTAAAGCCGCCATCGGTATGTAGCTGAATGTTATTTTTTTTGTGTCCACATGGTTATACTCACTCCGAATATTTTTTTTCAAGTATCATCTTGTAGAAGATATGAAAATGTCGGGCCAAAACAAACCCAATTAAGACAACTAAAATACATCACATCTAATTCTTCATTACTTTTTCTAAGGGAGTGGGCCAGGCATAGTTAAGTAACTTCTAAACCCCTAAATAAGAGTATTTTAATTTCATGTTTGTGGGAGTTTATTTTCATATATGCTGCACTTATGATTCTTTAATTCTTCATTGAAAGACTGTAATATTGAAATAGTTAACTTTGTGAAGTTATAAATAATAGACTTTAAACATGCTCTCAGTAGATTCCATTTGGAATGTATGATGATTTAATCTTAAAAACAGTAGTAACAGCAAACAAACAAACAAAAACAAAGAACAAAAAGACAATTCCTCAATACTTACAGGATGCGATTCCAATGGATTAACGAGCAGCATGTCTCCAAAAATACTGCGGCAGTAATTTGCCATTTTTGCTTGTTGTCTAGGGCTGTGAACATAGCAGTCAGAATTGCAATCTGTTCATCAACTTAGTTGTATTTCTTCATGGCTTTTTTTTTTATTTCCTTCTAGCATTTTAGCCACCATGTGTTGTGTAGCAAAAGTAACTACACTCTGAGAGAGTTTGCATGCTGAAGAGGGGTAGGAAATTTGAGAGAAACAGAAGAAAAGAGTTTTTTTTTTTTAAACTTATAAATTTAAAAAAATGTCATGTGTAGAATGTTTGTAATAACCACAGGCAGTTATGTTTGGTGTGCCAATGTTAACTGAGTGTACACCAAGAAACTGAAACACAGTCAACAAAGGATCAATATAGGACAGTAAGGTATACAATGCAGTCTATAAGCCCTTTTTATCATGTAAATTAAAAATGAATTAAAAAGATAATACATTTCATTATCGACTTTTATTCTCTATTCTCTGCTATTTACACCTTTGATGAGTCTAAATATCAGTCATTAAACTGTTCTCAAAAGTTTATAATAAAGCTTTTTTTCAGTATACTCCAGGCTTTAGAGCCATACTAGACAATTAATCTGATCAGATATATATATATATATATATATATATATATATATATATATATATATATATATATATATATATGTATGTATGTATGTATGTATGTGTGTATGTATGTGTGTATGTATGTGTGTATGTGTGTGTGTGTGTGTGTGTGTGTGTGTGCGTGCGTGCGTGCGTGCGTGCGTGCGTGCGTGCGTGCGTGCATTTTCACTTTAAACTGGACACTTTTCAAGCAAATTGGACAGTTTGATTTTAACAATTACTTCTTAACAAAGAAAGTAATGACAAAGAAATCACATCTAACAAGATGAAAGACTGTCCTGCTGCTGCTGTAGTCAAGTTTATCATCATATGGAGGAGGTGATGTGTGCAATCTTGCCGTGTTACTGTTCCAATGCTTTCTTCAATAGCCTTGCTTGGTGTGTGTGTGTCAAATGTCAGGTGTCAGATTGCACAGCAGGCGCTTCGCTGATGCCTTTACCTTGGAGAACAGGTTTTCTGTCGGGTTCAGCATGTAGAAGTAAGATGACAGGAACTTTAGATGATAGGACGAGCCCAGTACTCTCCGCAGATCATCTGGTTTGTGGATTCTGGCAGTTTCCACCGCAGTTTCACTGGAAAATGGGACCTTCTCGTTTGTAGGTTCTGATGATGTTTCTTGCTGTGCTCTCGTTGATACCAAAGACTTGAGCTGCTTTGTGGGCAGTTTTTCAATCGATTAACACAAGCTAAATAAGAACCTTTTCATGAGCATAGGAAGTTTGTATACACTGTTGTTGCTTCAAATGCGCCTAGCTTTGAGGTTGGTTGCTCATTTTTGGGTGCTTCGCTAAGTTTACAGGACTGTACAATAAAGGATTTTTTTAAACACATTCCTCTATTTATAGATATCACAAAAGAACATTCCAGAAAGATTTTTGTAATGTGTGTTCCAGAAAATTTCGAAAGTTCAAGCAAATCATCGAATTTAAGCATTAAAAAACTGTTCTTTAATTTTGTCCAGTTTGGTTTGAAAGATGTCTGGTCTGATTTGAAAAATGTCCTAAATGGTTTGAAAAGTGTTCATTTTGAAGTTTACATATTTATATATATATATTCTATATATATATATATATATATATAATATATATATATATATTATATATTATATATATATATATATATATATATATAAATACACACACACAAATATATA